TTGGTCTCGGACTCGACTCTCTTTGGTCTCGGACTCGACTCTCTTTGGTCTCGGTCTCGACTCGGACTCGACTCTCTTTGGTCTCGGTCTCAACTTAGACTCGACTGTCTTTGGTCTCGGTCTCAACTCGGACTCGACTCTCTTTGGTCTCGGACTCGACTCGGACTCGACTCTCTTTGGTCTCGGTCTCAATTCAGACTCGACTCTCTTTGGTCTCGGTCTCCACTCGGACTCGACTCTCTTTGGTCTCTGTCTCAACTCAGACTCGACTGTCTTTGGTCTCGGTCTCAACTCGGACTCGACTCTCTTTGGTCTCGGACTCGACTCTCTTTGGTCTCAGTATCGACTCGGACTCGACTGTTTGGACTTGGTCTAGACTCTGACTCGACTCTCTTTGGTCTCGGTCTCTATAGTCGTAACCCGAGACGTTTTACCAGTGGAATTAATATCGGAGCAGAGAATTGTAACTTTTCACTGGCATCTAAAATTTAGGTGTCATAAGTGACTGTTTTTTGCTTGTACACAATATTGTAAAAGCTGTAAAAGCCACCAACCATTGGCAGGTGTGGCAAAAAGTTTGTTTTAGGTCCTGCTTATACAGTATGCCCAGCTTCAACTTCCTGTTTCGACAGAAATCTTCAACACAGGAAAGAAAACTCCATTTGTCAAGCCACTTGATGGGGTCTTTGAAAATGACAGTGCTTTATTAGAAAACATGACCCTGAATAATAATGCAGTAAGTCTCTTGTACTGTTAAATTTAGGTCAGAAGGACAGACCTGTTACAGAAGCACCCAAAGCTGACCTAGGGGATACCGTACCTGCGCCAATACGATAAGCAGCATGTAAACGAAAGCCCACTAAAAACCTGACTGACACCGTCCCTGTGTTACTTTTAGGTAATGAGGGAACCTGCGAAATCCTCCATCGCATTTTCCTCCCTCCCCGTCCCTCTCAGCACGGCCCCGGGGAAGAGATAACAAGAAACAAAATAGTTGGCTGCTGTAACAAAGAGCCTGCAAAGCCTTTTATTCTTCCAATAAATTGAATTTTTTCCACTGTCTCAGAAATCTTCCGTAAAGCTAAAGTCCTCTTTACAGTGAATAGATATCTCTCAGAAATGTGACATAGGCAGGCGGCGTTTGTTAGGAATTTTTACTCAAAGGCCATCTTTGCTGGAGGATTATCCCACATTTAAGCATTTCAATTCAGTCACTTCAAACCACTAAAACAGCTCTCCGAGCCAAACAACCACCGGCTGCACATATAAGCGGCTTCGCCTTTTGTTTTGTTGTTGTTGTCTTCTCTCGCTCTTTGATTCGTAAGGAAATAAGAAAAGGTTTCCTGCTATCGCTTGATTGTTCTCTCCTTTCTTTCGAAGACAGTTGCAATTTCAAGCATCTCCAGACGTTGTATTTAGGTTTGGAAAAGACTTTCCGCTTTAGTACTTAAGGGTTGAAAAACTATCCCATTCCAAACTTCTAAAATCATCGCACTTGCTTCCAGTGAAGCGACAAGCAGGGGGAGAGTTACATGAGAAGCACACTGTATAAGCCTAATGAAAATTGCTCTGAAAACAATGCTGCTGAGGCCTTTGCTGAGCTCGTTGGATGGGTTCGGGCATCGTTTTTCCGTCTAGCAATTAGTTGGAAGACATTTTTTTTTCACACCCCCATTAAACATGATGGAATGAAAGCGCTCCTCTGCAGTGTGTATCTTCATAGGCAAGAGAGCGTATGTTGCATCTACAGCAGTTGTTCAGTGGCTGTTCTCGTGTGCCGTGGGCGAAAGATGATCCTGTCGTTATTTTTGCCACCCTACGCATCTTGCATAAGACTGCATAACCCATTTTCATGTTTTTGCATCCTCAAGTCTCTCTCTGGACCCCTAGAGAAACTCTGGGTGTGAAATATTTTCAAAACTTACATTTAGTCAGAAAAACATGTTTGCGTGCATGTTTGAGACGCTTTCTGTCAGAGCCCTTTTATTCCCCTGTTTTCCCTTGCATGCGATATGAAGAGATCAGCAGGTGGCCAACAACACTTTGAATGAAGCTCATCAGTTTCATAAATAAAAGAATGCGGTTATAAATGGCTTCTGTGAATTCACAGGCATACAGGCGCAACATTAATAGCCTGTAGAACTAATTCTCTTTGATCAAATGGAGCTTATTCAGTCGTGGCGTTAGCAGTTTTAGCCTTCAAATCTCTTATTAAAAAACTCTTAGGGCCCTATTTTTAATGATCTGAAACGAAAGTATCAAGCGCAAAGCAGCAAGTAACTTTGTGGGCGGGTCTGTTGCTATTTTACTAGCGGGATAAATGACTCTTGCGCCTGACGCAAGTTTAAAAGGGGTTGGTCTGAAATAGCTTCATTATTCATATGATAGGTGTGGTTTGGGCATAACCTGAAATAAATCAATCAGAGCATCATCCAACATACCCTTTAAAGGGATACTCCACCGTTTTTCACCGTTTTTCCGTTTAAACTATGTTATTCCCTTAACTAAGACGAGTAGATACATATCTCTCTTCTGACTTCAATGGGAACCAAACGGTTCAAGGTCCAAAAGACAGTTTCAGGGCAAACTGCAAACTTTTGAAAGGGTTTTAAACGATTCCAGACGATGAAAAGGGATCTTATCAAGCGATCGCTCATTTTTTTTTTTTTAAATAACAAAGTTTAAGTTTTATAAGCTCAAATGCTCGCCTTGCTCTGTTTTGTGACTCTCCTGCTCGAACTCGTTCCTCAAATTGAGCAAATCTTCTTCCAAGTCAATTCGTTCATTTTGTTCGTTGAATCAACCAACTGACACGAAAAAAGATTTGTTCATTTTGATGAACGAGTTCGAACAGGAGAGTCACGAAAACGCATCACAGAACAAAGCAAGGCGGCCATTTGAGCTTTTAAAACTGAAACTTTGTTGTTGTTTTTATTTTTTAAATGAGCGATCGTTTCGCTTGATAAGACCCTTATTTATCGTCTTGAATCGTTTAAATCCCTTTGGACAGTTTGCAAACTGTCTTTTAGACCTTGAACCGTTTGGTTCCCTATGAAGTCCATTATATGGAGAAAAATCCTGGAATGTTTTCATCAAAAACCTTAATTTCTTTACGAGCGTAAACGCGCATGACGTCACGCCCAGTCTCAGATTCGAGCCCAAATCCTTCTTATATATTTCACTGTACAGGATAGAGGCGATCGCAGTGATCAAAGAAGGGCTCATTCAGCTCATCAGACGATTGTTTAAGCATGTATGGGTTAGAAAACGGCTATTTTTAACATGAAATGTTGCGCAATGCACCTTTAAGGGAATAACATAGTTTAATATGAAAAAACGGTGTGGAGTATCCCTTTTAGAGCAGGTGCGCATGTTGCATGGGGGATTGTTATTAATATGCCGAAGTTACGAGGTTCACAGCCGAGGAGCCGAGACGTTCTTGTCAGGGCAGTGAAAGATAGAAGTGACGTTGTATGGGGATGGGATAAACCCATCCAAATCAGCGTCAGTTAAACAGGCGTGGGAGAAAAAAACAACACTTTTTTGCATCTTCATGGACACCACAATGATTTCCCTCATGTGTTAATATTTTTCCTTTTTGCAAAAAAACAAAACAAAAACTGCTTCATCAGTGTTGATGAGAGAATCGAAGTGTATGCACATTGTGCACCCGCTACATTAAGGTCAAGCATGCGCACTTAAAATAGCGTTATGAACAATGCGCAACATGCCACTGACTTAAGACCTTTTTTTTTTTTTTTTTGGTCAGAAACATTTGGTCAGTGGCGGAATTGTTTTCTGGAACTGCAAAATAGCACTTGGGAATGTTTGAGCCGACCCGCCCAGGGAGCGCAATTTAATTTCCTAATTTACTGACGTGCTTCTGTGGAGGGAAAAGCCCGCTTTGCGCGGGTGCAAAATAGGAATTATACAGTGTATAAAGTCATTTGCGCCGGGTGCAAGATAGGGCCCATAATGTCTATATACTTTGAGCATTTTATTATGATTAAATGTATTTGAATTGTTTAATACTGCTACTACTAATAATAATACTAATAATATTAATTCAAAACAATTTATGTCAAACTGCAGCCCTATAGAGATTTGCTGGATTTTGTCTTGGCCCCCATGTTGAGAATCAGTGCTTTAACAAGTACTTGGAATCCACAGTGACTCTGCTGTACAACTCATATAATTGGCCTATTCACACCAAATGTGTATTTTTTTTTTGTGTGTGAAAATATTTCATTACAAAGTAATGAATCCCTATGGGCCGCTTCACACCGAGGGTAAAAAAAAAATTGTGAACTGTGATCCAACATCGTTTCACATCGTTTTTTTTTTTTTTATTATTTTTTTTTTTAGTATCCAGTAACATAAACTTTTTGCTTGTATGTCTAGAGTCATTGATCTTCAGGTACAAGAAACATAAAAATAGCCACAAACAAGTGGAGTTTAAATCCTGGAGGATATCCATTACGTTTTCGATTTCTATATCTGTAATCTGTTTCATCATGAGTCATATTTTCTGGGGGAATAATGTACAGCCAGCCATTATCACAAAACAACCTTGACACGGTTAAAGATTCTTCACAATAATGCTTACCAAATAAATAAATACATAAAGGGCCATGAACAATTGAAAATAGTTTTTTTTATGTGAGATAAAAAGAGACCACAGTCATACAAGAAATATAATTACATTACAGGTAATAACATACAATTTCACCGTCAACATATTAATGTTCTTGTTTAAAATAATGATGATAAAATTGCATATCTGAACAATCAGAATTGAATTTCCCATTGCATTTCACTTTCATTAGTAATAATAAGAAACTCATTTGCAATTTGTGCCATTTCGTCACTTGTGAAATAGGCTTTTATGTAATTTCTTATACATGTAAGTGGACATGTAGGCAGAGAGATTAACACAGTTCCTTAGGTGGCTACCACTAGTCTGAATGGCGTCTTCATCTCAGGTTCTGTTGCCTTTGAAGGTTGTTTATCTGGACAAGGAGGATGAGATTCAGAAGATTCCTCTCCAGCCCCCATACTATGACATGGCGCAGTCTGAGTCCACTGCGTTCACCGATAAGCCGGTGAGTAGCGCTGCTAAACTCATTGCTGTTTTGTCCCTTCCCTTGCTTTGGTTGAAAACAGGGCTCTGGTGTCTGGCTGTTAGGGGGCACATCTTCTTAAGCGTGTTGCACAAGATGAATTGCCTTCTGAATGATGTTTATATTAAAAGACGAATCCAAGGGGACGTATTTTCCAGCTTGTATTGTGTCAGCTGGGAACAGGGTTTGTAATTTAGCTGGCTCCCGCAGAAGGTGTGGGGTTTCTCACATGTGCAAGGGAATCCGTTGCAGGAACAGAGCATTCATATCATGGCTCTGTTCCAAAAAATATTTTGCAGCTGCCTTCAAAGGTAGCATCCTAGATGAAATGAAACCTAACAAGTGACAGAATGGGAACAATCTGCATAGACAGCAATTCCTACGTCGTACACACAGTGCTCCTCACATAAAGTTCACAGAAGACTGAACTCACCCTGCTGAAAATAGTTAGTTTTAAATACAATAAAAATAGTTTGAAATCCAAGCTAAGACAAGCAAACCAGCTTGTGTTTTTAGCAGGGACAGTTGATTTCAATAGAGTGTTGCATTAGCATGATGCTAAGCTAACAGTAGAACACTCAAATAAACATAAAAATACTTCACAAAAAGACTAAACTTCAGTACCGAACGGTTTATATTTATAATCGACATTGACTTCATCCATTGCCTTGGATGCATTGTTGACGTTGTTACAATACATTATGGGATTGTTTTCTCTGCAAATAACACAAGATACCAGGGGTGGGTGATATACCTGTAGAAATTTGTGAATAGGTCGGGAGTTTGGATTATTGTGTCTGTCGCAGTTATGCTCACTTGCAATTGCAGTGCTGCTCTGTCACAAAAGTGTATCATATTCAAGCGGTGTATAAGCCTCACCGGTTTAAACGTTTTTAAATCACTTGAACAACACACCACAAAAGAGAACTCGATTTGGTACACACGTGCTGTCTGAGTAACACATTGAAAAGGAGTCATATAACTGACGTCTTGGGACGTCTTTTGACCATACGTCAACATCCGCCTTAAACGTCGGTTACATGACGATCTCGGGTTGTCATACAACTGACGCTTTACCTTTAACGTCGGTCAGGTGACGGGGTAGGTTTAGGTCTGGGGTAGGGTTAGGATCCGATAACGTCATCTAACCGACGTTTAAGGGGGCCCTAAAAAGGCGGATGTTGACGTATGGTCAAAAGACGAGACTGCGATGAGACTGCGCTGGTCTGAGAAACATGCATTTTATAGCTTTAATAAAAATGTATGTATATTTAATTCGTATTCGTATTCATAAGAAACATTTGATCCATTTGATTAATTTATTCATTTCTATAGAATTTCCGATAGATAGACCTACCTGAAAAACTTCAAGTATGTTTTATTCCATTTATGTGTTATTGCATGCCTGCCAAATTAGTTTCTTTGTTCTTAATTTATTAACTGACTTCAAATTGTGATTTTTTTTACCACTTCGGTACCAAGTCGGTACTGAAATTTTAAAATTGTGACGCTTTGAACACTGTTGAGCGAAATCGTAAACACCTTTGATTGGCCATTGTGTTCACGCGCTCATCGGATATGTCTGTGATTGCAACGCATTCTCACCCCAAGGCGTCACCTTTGACCATGCTTCAATATTTGACGTTTTAGGCGCCCTTTAGCGTCACTTACATGACGCGATCCTACGGCGTCATCTAACTGACGCTAAAGGAAAGCGTCAGTTAGAGGACGCGGTTAGGTTTAGGTGTGGGGTGGGGGTAGGGTACACGCGATCCTAGGGCGTCATCTAACTGGGCGCCTAAAGCGTCAGATATTGAAGCATGTCCAAATGCTTCCCATGGCGTCAGTTAAGTGGGGGGTGAGAATGGGCTGGTGATTGGCTACAATGATCTCGTCACATTTTTTAAATTTTAGTACCGACTTGGTACCGAAATCGGTAGTTTTTGACAACTCTACACTGTAAAAATTAATATGCTTTATCTAATCAAAAAAATAGATTACAAGCAATATTATTAATTCAATTTAACAATAGAATTAAGTAATAATTAATCAAATTGATTCCTTAAAAGTTAACCATTTAAAATGAGTAAAACGTACAAAAAAAACATCCATTTAAGTCACCATTATGGTGATCGATGTTTGTTTTAGGTTTGTTTTAAAAGGACGGTTTTCTCCTTCAGCGATTCTGCTTGTTAAATATCTGAATAAATATCTGATTTTGGTGTAAACTTTACTAATTTTAAGTAACATTTAAGGAATAATTTGATTAATTATTACTCAATTTGTTCAATTTAATTAATAATATTGCTTGTAATCTGTTGCCACAATTTTATTGATTAAATCAAGCATATTCATTTTTTACAGGATGTTATTCGTTTTTGCTGTGATTTCAAAATTGGAGCAGATAATTCTGAAATTTCAACGGTAACTACAATTTTGATATTGTAACAACATGACTTCAAGCGTTAAAATTACTTATATTGTGATAAGATTTTGGTTTGAAATGAATATTTAAAAAACCTTTGTAACCAACTTTGTGTCGAGAGTTCACCTGAAGCCTCAAAACTATAGGTTGCACACTAGGTTTTGGAGCCATTGTTTCAGACAGTTATCTGCAGTGGCATGAAGCAGTGGAAATGCATTTACACCATGGATTCACATACTTGCTTTATGCCACTGAATAACAATAGTGACACAATCTCCACAGCAAACCAAACACATAATATTGGTGAAATATAATCTTAATGCTCTTGACACTGAGCTTGGCTGTCCTTGTTTTGAGGTCTTCTCTCTTCAAGTCACTCTGCACCTTATTTTTTCTCATGTAATGGTGCTCTGCAATGCAGGGCAATTAAGACACTAGTTACCCAGCAACCCTATGTGGACAGATTGTACAGTCTTCATCATATTGCATTGTCTTTCAGCCCCAAACTCTTATTTGCAGGCAGTGTTATATTAGATGCATTTGCTTCTCTAGAACTCTGTGCCGCATATCTCTTCAACAGTGACAATCTCCTGCCTGATGTAGGCTCCTTGTTTGTCATTTTTTTTTACAGTTTTGTTGGGCTTATTGTGTGTGAAAATGTCACATTTGTCAGGTTCGTGTTGACTGCATGACACGGCTGTGGAATGAGCGTGAGTCTCATTATTGTTAAACTCAGCAATGCACTAGCAGTGTGATTGAAGGATGTGGCTTTTGTTGTTTGGGATTTCTTTATTGGTTGAAAAAGAAAAAAAAAGACATGCTGTAAATGTGTCGCTACCAAAGAGAAAGATCCACCTATAGAATTTAATCAAAAAATGTACAAACAACCATGATTTCCAGTCTTTTTTTTTTACCTTTAGTTACAAATTGTGCAATAAATGTAGACTTTTTGAGTAAAGGTGATATGTGTGATTTGTAAAGGCACCAAATAGAATTGCAGTAACACTAATACAAACATACAGAAGCCCACAGGGCCATGCAGTATTGTTGTTTTTCTGTGTTATTGGTTCTTGATATAACTTAAGAATAAGTCTATTTAACTTACTTCCTCGGGATAACTATGAAAATATTTAATGATCAAGAAAACAAGACCGAAATAAATAATACAGACATATTAGTATGAATGAATGAGGAGGTAGAGTCTTCCTGGTATACGCTAAAAGCTATAATATACTTAATACTACTTCAGCTTAGTTTTAAAAACGATAATTGAAGGTGCAAGGCTGATGTTAAATGGCAGCTGATTCCATAAGCATTGGTTTTTTCGTGGGACATCCACACTGTAAAAAATGAATACGCTATATCTAATCAATAAAATCGTGGCAACAGATTACAAGCAATATTATTAATTAAATGTAAGAAATTAGAAGTAATCAAATTAATTCAGAAGTATCTGAATAACAGACAGATGTCAAAGATGACTTAAGAAATCTTTATTTTTTTTATTGCCAACATTGAAGGCACCTGATGTTAACAAGCAGAATCACTGAAGGAGAGTCACCATTATGGTGATCACTGTTCATTTTAGTTGGGCTCTTGACCCATAAATTATTACCTTAGATTTTGTTTGGCTGCTGTAACTGAGTTATTGCAACCAGATTAACAAATAGAAAATGTGATCTGGTGTTGATTATGTACCATTTCACAATCATTTGACCTAAATCACTGAACTCATGTAAAGCCCAAATTCAAGTTAAGTTTACTTTATTAATTAAAGTAGCACTGTGATGTCTGCCTGTTATTCAGATATTTCTGTTTGATTTTTGTGTAAAAATTTTACTCATTTTAAATGGTTAACTTGTAAGGAATGAATTTAATTGATTAACTCAATTCTATTTTTTAAATTTAATTAATAATTTTGATTGTAATCTATTGCCGCAGTTTTAATGATTAGATATAGCATATTCATTTTTACAGTGCAATAATGCCATGTCCAATGATCTTAAAAGTAGATATATAGGGGAAAAGAAGATCTATAAGGTAAGATGGAGCTTGGTCATTAAGAACAAACTACAAAACCTTAAATTGGATCCTAAAGTGGACCAGAAGCCAATGGACTAAAATTGGGGTGACGTCATATTTCTTAGCCCTATACTCAACAGCCTCTCAGCTGCTGTTGAAACCATCTGAAGGCATGAAAGGCATAAACGCAGAAGACCAAAATCAAGGGAATTACAATAGTCTAGATGTAAAGTTATAAAAGTGCGAATAACATTCTCCAAAAAAGTTTTCAGTTTAGAAATAATTCATAATTAATAAAAAAAAAAAAATTGTCTTAACAGGTTTCTTATATAATTGACGGGAAATGATTACAGAGCTCATTGACCACCTCTAATTTCAGGGGACCAAAGATAATTGTTTCAGTTTAAATAAGTTGGAGAAAGTTATTTGACAACCACTTTTCGTATGTCCTCAAGACAGTCAATGGCAAATAAAGCTGGGTATCATCAGCATAAAAATGAAAAGAAATGCTTCCTTAGATCCTTCCTAATAATAA